AAAGCTATGAAAATGTAAACGTAACATACTGTCTTGATTCTCTTATGATTTTTTAAATGATAAATTTTGTAATGATAGAAAGAAGAGAAATAGTGATAGATGGAAAATCACTTAATTTTAATTATATTCAGCAACGTTTCGTCAGCATATTTGCTGACCTCTTCAGGCTTTATTAATAGAAAAACAACAAATTATTAACAATAGAGTTTGCACAAGTAATTTTAATAGTATGTAATTATATGTATATGTGTATACCTGATTTCTCTCGTAGCACAGTCAAGTTACAATAAAGTGAGAAATCAAGTATTTCAACCCATATATATACTCTTCATCTATTATCCCTTCCTCATCGATCTTAATAAAGGCTTATAAATGTAACTAAGATATTGTATATCCTCTTTTCTATTTAACGTGTTTTTATGTAAGCCAATGTTTAACAATTCGGATATTCTTCGTTTCTTATAATTCTTTTCATAATCCAATATCTTAGCTTTTCGCAATCAAATTTGTGTGAGAACATTCTTATATGTGTAGCTACTACTGTATCTGAATCAATGTTTTTTTTTTGTGTTCGTTTAATCTAATTTTTACGGAACGTTTACTTTCACCTATATAGACCGCTGAATATTGTTTGCAGTTAAAACTGTAGACAATACCAGTGTTGTCTAATAAATCAGATTTGTCTTTTCCTAAACGGATAAACTCTTGTAATGGCTTTTGTAATAAAGGGATAGGCATAATGTTATGTTTTTTTAATACAGATGAACATTTTTTAAGATCTTGCAATTATTAGGAATAGCGACTGTAGGTAATCTTATCATAATAGACTACAATTTACGTTTGAAATTTAAATGAATAATTTTATTCCATTTCTTGACTTAAAATTGATCAGAAATAATAATAAATTAGAATTTGATTGGTTTAGGAAAATAACACAAAATGACAGAATTTTGAATTTTAACTCAGAACATACAATTCATCAAAAAGTTATTATAGTTTCAAATTTAATTGACCGAGTGTTTTTATTTGCTAACAAAAAATTTCATTCCAACAATTTAAAAATAATTACTAATATCCTGAAAAAGAATAATTATCCATCTTTATTTATCAAAAAACATATACAAAAACGTATCAATAAATACAAAAAAGGGAATAATAATTCTAAAAAATTAGAAAATCAAAAATTACCTACAGTCGCTATTCCTAATAATTGCAACATCTTCATAAAATATTCGTCTGTGTTAAAAAAACATAACATTATGCCTATCCCTTTATTACAAAAACCATTACAAGAGTTTATCCGTTTAGGAAAAGACAAAACTGATTTATTAGACAACACTGGTATTGTCTACAGTTTTAACTGCAAACAATGTTCTGCGGTCTATATAGGTGAAAGTAAACGTTCCGTAAAAATTAGATTAAACGAACACAAAAAAAAACATTGATTCAGATACCGTAGTAGCTACACATATAAGAATGTTCTCACACAAATTTGACTGCGAAAAGCTAAGATATTGGATTATGAAAAGAATTATAAGAAACGAAAAATATCCGAAATGTTACACATTGGCTTACATAAAAACACGTTAAATAGAAAAGAGGATATACAATATCTTAGTCACATCTATAAGCCTTTATTAAGATCGATGAGGAAGGGACAATAGATGAAGAGTATACAGGGTGTCCAAAAAGTTCCGGGACACCCCAGTAAGTCCTGAGATATAACTATTTCCGAGGAGATTAAGGTCATTCCTTTAGTAACTTTGAACGAGCAATCCAGTGGTGACCTTGGTTTTTACCTTGAGCTTGACCTTCAAGGTCATTTCAAGGTCAACTTTTTTTTTTCAAATGGGATCCCCTATTTTTGACAACGGTAATCGAAAGAGCGGGAAATTTTACGTCCAAAACGGTATTTTAAAATTTTTTTTCATGGCCTTGAGAAGGTCGATTTAAGGTCAAATGCTTGAAAACTGCCTAAAAGCGTTTTTTTAATTTTTAAGATATCGAAAAATGACCTCTACAAAATTTGTTCAGACCAGAGTGGGCCACCCAATGCACCAAAAACCTTTGACATTTAACCTCATTTTGAAGGTAATTTCAAGGTCGAAGTGTTTTTTGTAATGGAAACCCCTATTTTTGACCTCGGATTCGCACATAGCGCGAAATCAGAAAGAAACATTCAAAACGCAGTGAGTGGAAAAAACTTATCCGGCAAAAAATCTGTACCTATGTCTCTGCTTGCTCCTCATTTAAAACAACTTGACTTTCGGTTTGGATAACCCGTTACTTTATTATTCAAACAATCAAAGGTGACCTTGAAATAACCTTAAAATGATCTTGAAGGTCAAGGATAAGGTCACTGGAACATGCTCCCAGTAGAATTTAATAAATTTAGCCCGAAACATTTTGTAAATGTTTCGCGAATAATATTGGATCTAAATTTCACATGACCTTAGCGATGAACGTCGTGGATCAATCGAAACTCAACATAATACCTTATCCAAACGTCGGATTTCGTGCTACGTGCGAATCCGGGGTCAAAAAGAGGGGTTTCCATTATAAAAAACACTTCGACCTTGAAATGACCTTCAAAATGAGGTTAAATGTCAAAGGTTTTTGGTGCATTGGGTGGCCCACTCTGGTCTGAACAAATTTTGAGAGGTCATTTTTCGATATCTTAAAAATTAAAAAACGCTTTTAGGCAGTTTTTCAAGCATTTGACCTTAAATCGACATTCTCAAGGCCATGAAAAAAAATTTTAAAATACCGTTTTGGACGTGAAATTTCCCGCTCTTTCGATTACCGTTGTCAAAAATAGGGGTTCCCATTTGAAAAAAAAAGTTGACCTTGAAATGACCTTAAAGGTCAAGCTCAAGGTAAAAACCAAGGTCACCACTGGATTGCTCGTTCAAAGTTACTAAAGGAATGACCTTAATCTCCTCGGAAATAGTTATATCTCAGGACTTACTGGGGTGTCCCGGAACTTTTTGGACACCCTGTATATATGAGTTGAAATATTTGATTTCTCACTTTAATTTTGACTGTGCTACGATTTATTCGTTTTAGTCTATAATAATTTGACTACGAGAGAAATCAGGTATACACATATACATTTAATTATATACTATTAAAATTACTTGTGTAAAGGCTATTGTTAATAATTTGTTGTTTTTCTATTAATAAAGCCTGAAGAGGTCATCAAATGTGCTGACGAAACGTGGCTGAATATAATTAAAATTAAGTGATTTTTCATCTATCACTATTTCCCTTCTTTCCATAATTACAAAATTTATCATCTATGAAAATGTAGTCAAATAAAAATTCTCGGATGAAGGACAGTCAATTTTCACCCGAGTTTCCATTTCTTTCACAAGATAAATTTTTTTTATTCATTGATATAAATTGTGACGGTAAACGTCAAATTAGCGCTAATTTTCTAACCTAATTGCTGTCTGCAGGGGGGGCAGCACTTGCCGGGAGACGAAAAATGTAACGACGGAATTCGGCACACGAGCAGACGGAACGCGCGCGATTGAAAATGAACCAGTGAGGGACTAACCATCATCACGTTCGCCCGTGGTTACGACGCCAGCTACCGATACGCAAGCCGCCAATATAGAAATCCGCAACAAAAGTGTCCGAACTAGAGCCGAATACCAGTGACCGCTGTTACCGAGCTGTCCGGAGTGCTGACCTGAGCCAGTGGAAGCGGTGCCATCGCCTGCGAAGCCGAACGTCAGCGTGCGAGGTGTTTCGCCATCGAGGGCGAAACCACGTGTGTGCGCGTTCGCTATCCGCGAGTAACGGAAGACAGACTTTTTCCCGCAGTGAGCGTGCGAATCATACTTCTTGTCTCCGTACGTCTGCTAAATAAGGGTAAGCTGGCCAGCTTAATTTCGCGGTCGTGATACAATTGTTAATCCGCTAATCACTCGAAGCGAAATGTGCATGTAATAGCTCTACGGATAAAGAGCAGTGAGCGTCCCGACACTGCATGTTGTTGTCGAGCGAGCGCCGATGTAAACATAAACACGCGGGCCGATTCTAATGTAGCATTTGAAAGATACTAAAAGTTTTCGTACATGATATTCACAGTAATTTCGGAGCGTTCTTTCCGTATTTGTAGTTAGTTGGTTGACTGACACCCGTTCTCCTTGCTCTCCGAGTCCCGTATTAAACATAGATAATTGTGTGCGCTATTCGATACGAGTACGCGAATAGAAATTAATCAAATAGTAGCAACCCCGTTACAAAATTTAACGTATATTAATATAGAAAATCATAATATTTCCGTTTATAATAGAGTATTGTATATAATACTAAGATATTTTCCACCATTTCTGTATTGTAATGTTAATGATACAGTTTAAAACTCAATGAAAAGACGATAATGTTGAAGAAATTTATGTTCATCACTAAAAACGCGAATATAAAACTAAACAAAATAATATTTTTTTACTTCACATACTTAAATACTAATGTTCTTAAAAAAAATCATTCTCAATAGTGAAGAAATAAAACATCTCTTTTTTGAAAGAATATTCAGATAATTACATAGATAATATTAAAAGCACAAGCGGTTTCTCATCATGAAAGAATTGTAAAACGTTAGAAATTTCGTACGTTGTACTGCTGGTAAAAAAACTGCCTAAAAATTACTGTGAGCATATAACTAAAAAAGCTGTTTTTTTAAATAATTTATATAAATCGCGTAGTTTTAAATTTGATGTTGTAAAAGGTAATGTAATAGAGGAAAAAACTTTTATAGGGATAGACAGAAGAAATAATTGACGTTATATTAAGTGAACATCATATCATTGGATGTTATGTTTCAAAAGTAATGGCTGACGAGAGGCAAGATTTTTTCAAAGTGTGCATGTTGATAATACGAGCTTTCAAATATTCCAAATCGTTATATCAAATATTATTAACAAATATTATTCAAATATAACAGATCGTTTAACGACTTTTTACTTAAAAAATTAACACTAGAAACAAACCATCTTTCCAGGTGATACTTTTCAGCTTCATCTTTGTTAGGAGGAAACATCTTTGGACGTATTTGCGTTTGCAAGTGTCCTGGAACATCTTTCCAACAATTAAAATGTTCCAAGTTTTTCGATGCCGGTTGCCAATATGTTAAACCTGCAACACACGAACAGTTAAAAATTATTGAAAAATTAATTTAATGTCTTATACATATTATAAAATACTATCGCCATTACCATCATTGCCACTACTGTGTATAAGAATTTTTAAATTAGCTTTAGTAATATTTTTTCAATTGAGCTGTCGACGCTGTACAGTTTTTATTATTCGTGTACTTTTATTTTTTGACAATTTATCCAGATGCGATTATATAAAATGTTTATTAAAAAGAACTGTTAAAATATTTAGGTACCTATAGAGGGTGTCTTAAAACTCCGGACTTTGGAGATCATTCTAAAGGTTATTTGAAAGTCACCTTGGGAGTCGTTCAGATCTTAACTATTTTTGAAACCGAAAAATGACCAGCATTTAATAAAATCGAAAAAGAACAGATTAAAAAACTTTACTTGAATGTTAATTTTCCTGCTCATTCCGAATCCGGGATCTAAAATCCATTTAAAAAAAAACAAAATTGACCTTTAAATAAACTTGAACATGACTTTCAAAGTCAAAGGTAAAGTCAGGGGAATATGGCTTCGTCGAATTCAAACAATTTTTGTCTAAAATAATTTTTGCTAAACATTACCCTTACCCGATTATTCAGATGAAAAGATTGAGATAAAAAATTAGGCTTATTCCCTACTTGACCTGTGAGATCACTCAAACCCTAACTATTTTACATTATCTAATTTTAGAATTTCCCCCTCTTTCTGAATCCGGGATGAAAAATAAGGGTTTCCAATTAAAAATCAAAGTTGGCCTTCGACTAACCTTGAAGATCACTCTCAAGGTCACATTCAAGGTTACCAATGGATTTCTTGTGAAAAGTTAATCCAAAAATGACTTTGACCATTTTGAAAAATTACTATGGAAAATTTTTAAATGTTTCCGAACTTTTGAAATACCCTGTATATGTTATTTATTACTATTTCAAGTAGTTATATTTATTATAACAATAATAATCATATTCTTGCCGGGCCGGTCCAGTGAGTGATTACACATCACTGGGCAAATGCTAGCTTCCAATGTCCACGACCGTACCCGGTGGAAACGTCGTCCGTCGCGTCAATGCTCTGAGCAGCAACGCTATAACGGACACGGCCAAGAGGAAGATATGACTCACAAATGACGCAAAAGATAATGGTATTCTGCCGATGTGCCCAACCATTAATCACTTACACACACCTACACTCACACATTACACACACATATGCCTCTTGGCAAACCGTGATGAATGAATGCTCGGCGACCCTATAAACAGAGCTTACCGAAAGAGCGAATGCCGGGGACTCGTATAAATGGAGCCGCTCGAAAGCAAATGGAGGGGATCCCTCTAATCGGGCTCTCCCCGTGAACGAAGCTCGGTTTTGCTACAATGGGCACTCACAATCACGCACACTCTACAGGGGGGAACAATGAACACACAGAGTAGAGGAGGGGGACATTAGGGGCCCTGCGTTGTTCCAACGCGGTTCGTGGAGTATGAACATGCACAAAAAAACATAGATTTACCTCAAGTAGTAACCCCTTCTCAGGAGGAATCCACCCTGGGTTCCGATCGGGTGAAAGCTCCGGTGACCACGGGCAGCGGCTGGGATTTTGAGGGCCGTACTTTGTGTACGGGGAAGAGGAGGACGACATGAACTAGAACCTACTAAACCTACCAAGACGACAGAGGACGGACAGCGTGTCCAGCGGTGGCAGCGGGGTGAGCTACGCCTCTGCCGCTGACAGCCAAGAACTGACCACAGGATGAACACCCACAATGACAAACGACACATGAGACGTGACGGAACTGCTATGGCTCATACAAGAGACGGCGACGAAAATGGCCAAAGCAGCAAACGTGCAAAATAACATGAATATGACAGATGGGAATTACGACAATTCTCGAGCCTGTGGACATTGCGCTGTACAAGCGATCGGACATAGTTTCAGGAAGACGTCTCCAAGACAACAGGAATACAGGCATGACAGCGAAAAATAACGAAGAGACGCCACGGACGAAACGGAAACGTTCGCTGACCGGAACCACGCCGCAGCCCTTACAAAAGAGGCCACCGACGACGGAACCGACCAAGGACTGGCAGACGGTAACACGAAAAAGAACAGATAAGACAAAAAAGAATCGGTCTGATAGAGGTGGATCGGCCCACCGGAAAAGAGGACTGGCTGTCCTGATCAAGCTGGGCACGGCCACGACGTACTCCGATATAGTACGAAAAATACGGACGACGATCGACCCGAAAGAGAGCCACGTGCAGGTGACAACCCTGAGGAAGACGAAGAACGGCATATGTCTTCTGAAGCTACTGGTAGACGCAGACAAGCTGGACGGACGCGAGATGTTTGGACGACAGATCCAATCAATGAGCAGTACACGGCGGTCTGCGAATTAGAATCGAGGGATGCCGATGCGTTGCTTCGATGTGGTCGGATCAGAATTGGCTGGGTGCATTGCCGCATTCGGAAACAACTGACGGTGACAAAATGTTACAGATGCCTGGGCTTCGGCCATGAGAAAGCTGAATGCACAGGAAAAGACAGGACGAAATACTGCCGCAAGTGTGGCACATCCAGACACTACGCGACGGAATGTAAAAACAAACCGGTCTGCCACCTTGCTCCGAGGCCGGGCACAGGGACGTCGCCCACCTTGCCGGAAGCAGTAGATGTGCGGTGTTCCCGACCGTACTAGAGGAGTGCAGAGGGCGGACCGGAGGACGGACAGAATAATTCAGAGAAACCTGAATCGAAGTAAGACTGCAGAAATGGTCAGATAGCCGTCGAATATGACGCGGACATCCTGATCCTGAGTGGGATATAGGAGAAGGGCGACCCAAACATACATCACGAACGAGATAGAGACCACTGCTATCTGGGTAAGGGGTGGTACTTAATCTAGAGTCTCCAATCGCGGTGTCGGGGACGACTACGTCTGGGTCACAGTTGGCGCTGTCACTTACCTCAGCGTCTACCTTACACCCAACTGCACCTCGATGGAGTTCGAAAGAAAGGCAACACGCCTAGAAGACGGGATCAGGGACTTGCCCAGGGATGTCATCGTTGCGGGAGATTTTTACGCGAAGGCGACCGACTAGGGAATGAACGAAACTAATCGACGCGGACGACTACTGCTGGAAATGGCCGCAAGGCTCGATCTAGCAGTGGTAAATACGGGACACACGCCGACGTACAGACGGCCAGGTTTCGGAGACTCCATCCCCGACGACACGATGACGTCCGATAGAATCCTGCCACGGCTGAGAGGATGGCGGGTGATAGAAGACTACACAGCCAGCGATCACCAGTACATCGTCTTCGAAGTGGTGGGATGGATGGGAAAGAGACGAACGAGAACCTACCAACCCCCGCGGTGGACTCTATGTGAACTCGACGGACGAAAATTTTCGGAGGAGTTAAGGGCAGTACCGGCTCCAGGGGTTAGAATTCCCCCCGAAATGACGGGCCGGCAAAGAACGGAAAGACTGACAGACGATTCCCAAGAGGGAAGTCAAGTGCCTTGGGGTAACCCTCGATACGAAGATGACCTTCTGGCCTCATATACAGAAAACAACCCGGAAAGCGTCAGAGAGGATAGCATCCTTGAGTCGCCTGATGGCAAATACGACGGGACCGACATTGGGAAAACGACGACAGTTAATGGCGATAGGTCACTCGATCCTGCTATATGGCGCGGAAATATGGGCAGACTCCCTGAAGATAAAGAAATACTGTAAGTCGATGATGATGGTATAGAGACAGGGCGCACTGCGAATCGCTTGCTCCTATCAAATAGTTTCTGCGCAGGCTATTTTGGTGGTGGCTGGCATAATACCCGTGGATCTTCTGGCCTTTGAACGCAAAAGGATCTACAGGAGCAGCGCGGACATAGGATGAAAGAACGCGACAATCGCCGAGCGTGACAGACAATTGATATATGACAAGGCCGATGGACAGAAGAACGATGTGGTAACTGTACGAGACGACTGATACGGGATTTGAGGCTGTGGCTCGGAAGGAAATTTGGTAATGTAAATTTCTACGTCACCCAGCTCTTGACGGGCCACGGGTACTTCCGACGGTACCTTTACAATATGAACAGAGCACGAACACCCGACTGTAAGTACTGTGAACACAAATGAGATAACGCCGAACACACGTTTTTCGCGTGTGACCGCTGGACAAGACTCAGACAGGAACTGGAAGGAACGATCGGCTGCATCACCTCCGATAACATTGTGGCCGTGATGCTGCATGAACCTGAATGGTGTCGCTTAGTCGCTACCTATACGGAAACTATACTGAGACGTAAGAACGCGGACGACTACCTGACAGATGACTGGGCAGACGAAGTGACGCGACGTAACAAGATACAGAGGAACGACAGGAATGGACGAACACAGACAGAACCTCCAATCCGAAGTAATATCAACATGGTCCCTGACTAGGGGAAGGACACCAAGGAGATGGCGGTTTAATGGGTAAGCCTTTTTTTGGGGGAGGGGGGGGGGAGACTCACATAACCCCTCAGTCATCAAGACTAAGGGGAATCCGCAAAAAGGATTCCGCAGCTCCTTGTAAAAAAAACCATTCTTATGTATAGGTCAATTTATGTCTAACATATTATGGCTCTATCTAAAATTGTAGATCATCAAAAAAATGTGGATAGGCTCAAAATTTTTGCCGTATACTTTTTTCTACAATGTGGTGACTTTGAAAAATATTAAATAGCGGGTCAAACCTACAGATTTTATAAAAAATTAAGAAAAAATCGATTTTAAATCAATTATTTATGATTCTACTTATTTTTTATTTCAGAAATTAATTCAGCGTTCAATTTTACATAGGCATATAGTATTGCACTCGAGGTACAAATATTTTACAATGTGTTCTGAAGGTTAAATTGAGAAACAATAGTTAGTAACTAAAAGCTAATTGAATAAAAATTTGACAGTGTACTGTGCTAACAATTTACCATCTGCATTCCATTCTAG